TAATACTTTTGAAGAAAAATATAATACTTCTATATTTTAATTTAAAAGGATTACATTTTTTCTCAAATGTATTACACTTACCCTTATAATTAACAAATACTTTATTCCTAATTAGTATTACATTTGTAGTATATGTATTACATTTCTATATTAACTCAACTTGATCCGACTAGTCTCACGAATAAGGACTTGTGAGATGATCTCGCACAAATGTAATGTAGCGATAATTTTTTTGATTAAAATATACTTATCATTTTTCTTAATAAATAAACAAAGTGTGGAAGGGAATAGGGCTGAATAAATAAATAAATAAATAAATAAATAAATAAAACAAAAGAAACAAGTTAGGTTTGGATGTTGAAAAGTGTTTCCTTTATTGTAAATATGTTAGATGATGTGGCCTACGTCCACTTCATAGATACCACCCATCCTTGGCTTATCTTTTATCTTTCCCAATCCATTGAATGATTTATATTGAGTTAATTTCAACAGATGTCCTTTATTCTCAGATTATTAATTTTGTTATTTAACATTTCAAATTATCATTTTTTAAATACTTTTGACCTTTTCAATAAAATCCTATTTTTGTCAAGTGTATTTTTATCTCTTAATTTTTTTTTTCTAACTTTTCACCGATTTATATTTATTTATTTATTTTTTCTTTCTGTAGGTCCTTCCTATCAATTGTTTCACACCTCATTAAAAAAATTCCTAACAGTCTAAATAATCTCCTTCACCATCCTCCTTTCCCTTCCTTCTTCACCAGCCAATAGCCATATTCCAGCCATTGATGTCATTGTATGGCAAATCATATTTTGACATGGCAAGCAGGCGGTTATTGAAGTAGACCAATCGGGCAAGCATAGCTCACTATCGAACGGGATGTTCCGTCACCGGAGCAAAATTCCCGACAATCTAAACCCTCGGGTTCGTCGTCGTCTTCGACAAAGGGTGCTCAAGCTCATGCGTCTTCAGCCCTCCATCCACTGATTCCAATGCAGTTGCAGCCACCCACTGCAACAAATTCCACCTAGAGCCGCCAAAGACGTACGAACACCTTTCCCCCACCGGACACACAACCATAACACTTAAACTCAAACTGATAATAGGAATGGAAGACTGCTTCAAAAAAAGGAGCAGAGCAGAAGTTTGCAGAGAGCAATTAACTCTCATAATCTTTCTACTATACATCCTGGATTTACAACTTATGACAGTAAAAGCTATAGTATTGTAATTCGCCATGGCTGCCTATATTTTTTTTCTCCAACGACAAGATCCGAGACATTATATTGAGGAAGCTAAGCAGTTAGGTGGCAAATGCTCTTGCAACCTTGGGTGCCCACCAGCAGACTCATTGTTGGAACACAAGTCATATGCGAACTAGCTTGAATGGAAAGAGAGAAAAGGGAATGGTAATTTGCATTGTGAATTGTCTCAGCGGTTACAGGAAAAGAAGAACGCCTAAATACCAAAGAATAAGGGCGGAAAAGTTTGTTACACCGGTAGGAGAGAAAAGACTAAAAAAGGCCTCAGCCAAACTGAACAAAAACAGAACTGGAACTGCTGCATGCTTCTTTATTTTTCTTCTTCCAACACCCCCCCGTAAGTTGCGCATACAAGTCTTGTGTGCCCAACTTAGATGTAAACAACTGAAACTGTGGTATTGGAAGGGGTTTAGTGAATCCGTCGGCCGTTTGATTCGAAGATGTGACAGAGAGAAGCTTTATGAGACCTTGGGAAACTTTTTCGCGTACGAGATGACAGTCTATCTCGATATGCTTTGTGCGTTCATGGAATACGGAGTTCTCGGCTATGGCAATGGCGGATTTGTTGTCACAAAACACTGCTGCAGGCTTCTTCATTTTCATCTGCAAATCGGAGAGAAGGAAGGTGATCCATTGGACTTCGCTTACAGTTGCGGCTAAAGCCCTGTACTCGGCTTCGGAGGAGGATCTAGATACCGTCGATTGTTTCTTGCATTTCCAAGAAATCAACGCACTGCCAAGAAACACACAAAAGCCTGTTATGGACCGACGGGATTCTGAACATGTGGCCCAGTCGGAGTCGGAGAAGACATTGAGTTGTGTGGCTTCGCCTTTTGGGTAAAAGATGCCCTGCCCGGGGGCTCGTTTGATATATCGCAGGACATGGTGCGCTGCTTGCATGTGTTTCACAGTTGGTGAATCAACAAACTGGCTGAGCTGTTGAATGGCATACGCTATGTTTGGTCTTGTAGTCGTGAGGTATAACAATCGGCCAACAAGTCTTCTGTATGAGCCAATGTCAGCGACGGGCTCACTGTCTCCATGACATAAATGGATACCAGGAACCATGGGAGAGGAAGCCGGCTTGCACTCGAGGAAACCAGTTTCTGTAAGAATGTCCATGGCATATTTGCGCTGGCAGAGGTTCAGACCTGTGTCGCTACTCCGTGCTTCAATTCCAAGAAAGTAACCCAACTCGCCTAAGTCTTTTATCTTGAAAGCATTGTCAAGATACACCTTTAGGCTCTGAATCTGGGACATGTCTGGGCTAGTAAGCAGTATGTCATCAACATATATGAGGACTGCTATGAAAGTAGTACCTTCGCCCTTAGTAAACAGGGAAGGATCGGACTTTGATTGCACGAACATCATCTGTAGCAGAGCAGCACTTAGCTTTGAATTCCACTGCCTACTCGCTTGTTTGAGGCCATACAAGGAGCGGCGAAGCTTGCATACCTGGTTAGGCTTCTCAGATTCAAACCCCTGTGGCAGTTTCATATATACTTCCTCAATTAGGTCTCCGTGCAAAAAAGCGTTATTTATATCGAGTTGATGAATGTGCCAAGCACGAGATGTGGCCACTGCTAAGAAAGTCCGAATGGTCGTTATCCTTGCAACCGGTGAGAATGTTTCTATGTAATCAATTCCGAGTTGTTGAGTGTAGCCCTTGGCCAGTAAACGAGCTTTGTATCGTTCTATGGAACCATTGGCTTTGAGCTTAACCTTGTAAACCCATTTACAACCAATGGGGATTTTCCCGGAAGGCAGGTCAGTGATATCCCATGTCTTGTTTTCTTGCAGAGCTTTAATTTCAGTGTTCATGGCATCCCTCCAATGAGCATGTTTGACAGCCTGGCTGTATGACTTTGGCTCATCTGTAGAACTAACTGCCAAAGAGAAAATTTTATGTGATTGAGAGAGGTTGTCAAGTGACATCACCTTAGACATTACGTGGGGGGATGATCGTTTGTGTATTGCATCACAGTAGAAATCTTGGTATTTATTTGGAACCCGACGTTGTCTGTTTGAACGTCTGAGAGGTGAGGGACTTTTGCTTGCTTCTTGTACATGCTCATCATTCTGCTCATCTGATATTTGTGCATCATCATCAAAGTGTTCCTGTGCACTTTCGGATTCCATAGATAAATGGAATTGGGAACTGCCATGTTGACTATCATGTGGAGAATATGTTGGCAGTGCAACATCACTATGCATCCCAGTGGTTTGAACCGGTTGAGGTTGAAGACTCTCATGCTCCAAAGTGGTAGTAATTGGGATGATGGGAAGGGATGGCTCATTCTCAGCATTATTTGTGACTTCCATAGAACCATTGTCCTTTGTGAAGGGGAATTGATCCTCATAGAAACGTACATCTCTGGAAACTAACAGAGAGCCATCAAGTAAATCATAAAGAAGGTAGCCTTTAATATGAGCTGGTATTCCAATGAATACACACTTTCGGCCTCTTGCAGACATCTTGTGAGTATTTGGAGCAAGGTTGGAGGCATAGCACAAGCATCCAAAGACTTTCAGATTTGTGTAATCAGGTTCCTGATTGTACAATCTTCGATAAGGACTAACAAGTCCAATAATAGGAGATGGTAACCTGTTTATTAAGAATGTAGCATGCATCACACAATGGCTCCAAAACTCAAGTGGAAGAGAATCCTGGAAACGGAGAGCTCGGGCTACATTGAGTATGTGTTGATGCTTGCGTTCAACAATGGCGTTTTGCTGTGGTGTGTAGGGGCAGGTCCTTTGATGAACAATACCTTTCTCCTCAAAGAAATGCTGCATGCTGAACTCTAAACCATTATCGGACCGAATGGCCTTAATCAAAGTTCCAAATTGTGTTAGGACTTTGGCATGAAAATTATTAATGAGTTGTCTGACCTCTGACTTATTCTTCAAGAGGTGAAGCCATGTGAACCTGGAGTAGTCGTCAACTATGGTGAGAAAATATCTTTCTCCTTTCAAAGAATGAACCGGAAACGGCCCCCAAATATCAATGTGAAGCAAATCAAAACATTTTCTTGAGATGTTTATACTCATAGGGAACGAGGATCTCTTGTGTTTAGCTAGATGGCAAATATCACAGGCAGCAGTTTTATGGTTAGCAATCTCAATATATTTCAAAAGATGGATTTTATTAATGGGAAATGTCCCAATCTTTTGTGCCACAACTCGGCATTACTACTTTGAACAGAAGAAACATCATGTCTAACAGCATGCCTGATAGTAGGCAAGGATTGATCCAAAATGTAAAGGCACTTCTCTTGTCTAGCTAAACCAATCTTCTTCCCAAGCATGTCCTGAATCACACACTGTTCAGAAGAAAAAATTAGACTGTAGCCACCATCTTTTAACAGCTTACTTACAGACAATATATTGAACTTGAAACATGGCATGTGAAGGACATCTTTCAAGCATATTCCACCATCAAGAACTATACTGCCCATGTGTTTGACATGAATCCGGTTTCCAGTGGGTAAATTCACCTCAGTTCCTTGAACAACATGATAATCAAGAAAGAAATCAAGTGAACAAGTAATGTGGTGCGTAGCTCCGGAGTCTATGATCCATGTGGAATTACAAAGAGATATAGAATTGACAAGAGTAGCCTTCAGTTGTAGACTCTTGTTTGTTGAAGTTTGGTACAAGAGAAACTGCTGCCATAGCCTTAGTATTAGAGTTTTGCCCAACTTGATTCTGGAGAAGAGTTAGTAGCCTTTGGATCTATTCAGATGTGTTAGCGGAGTCTGCCTGGTCATTAGCAATTACTGCTGCGGATTGTTGCTGTTTTCCTTTCGACTTGAAGCCCGGAATCCACCCCGGTGGATATCCGTGCTTCTTGTAACATTTCTCAATCGTGTGGCCACTCATCCCGCAATAGGTACACTTTGCACCTTTGTTATTGTTTCCATATCGCTTATTGTAGGTGTTCAAGGCGGCTATGACTTCTTCAGATGAATTCGGATGAACTGCATTGGCTTGCGTGGCATCTATGTTCAAGTTGCAAGCACTCAGATTAGCAAAGGTAATCTGTCTCTCAAGTTTTTCGGCCATGACGAACACCTTGTAGACTTCTGGCAGAGGATCCAAAACTAGCACACTGGATTTGAGATTGTTGTATTCGTCATTTAATCCCTGAAGGAATCGTATGACATAATCCTCTTCTCTTTCGTTCCTGATTTTTTCGGTCAACTTACAGATGCATCTCGCGTTGCATGTACATTGTGGGAGAGGTCTTAGAGTGTTCAACTGCTCCCAGAGAGTCTTACACTTTGTGTAATACTCATTGATGGATAAGTTTCCCTGTTTTAGGCCATATATGTCACTCTGCAGGATCGATACTCTCTGAGCATCGTGTTGTGAGAACCTATGTCTCAGGTCTTCCCAAGCATCTTTTGCCCTATCTAGATGTAAGATACTTTGTGCTATGGAAGTATGTACTGAGCGAAGGATCCAGGAACATACCATAAGATTACATCTCCTCCACGCTGCGTGTAGATGATGATCGCTACTCGGTTCTGCGACACTTCCATTAATGATACACCATTTGTTCTTAATTTCTAGCGCAATCCGCATTGATACACTCCATGATTCATAGTTGGAGCTCCCAGCGAGTAGAGGACTGACTAGCACTGCGTTGGGGTTCTCATTTTGGCTGAGAAAAAACGGATTCTCCACGTCGTCCGCAACTTGAGCTCTGCCTCGCTGAGTGATCGGATTCTCCTGTGGAATCGAAGCAGGCATCGGAGGTGGTGCGGCGTGAGTCTGCGGACTGGCTTCTCCGATGATCGGATCTGTGGATCGATCCCCGATCACGGCTGCTGCGTATGTGCTCCGATGAAGGTGCTCTGATACCATGTTGGAACACAAGTCATATGCGAACTAGCTTGAATGGAAAGAGAGAAAAGGGAATGTTAATTTGCATTGTGAATTGTCTCAGCGGTTACAGGAAAAGAAGAACGCCTAAATACCAAAGAATAAGGGCGGGAAAGTTTATTACACCGGTAGGAGAGAAAAGACTAAAAAAGGCCTCAGCCAAACTGAACAAAAACAGAACTGGAACTGCTGCATGCTTCTTTATTTTTCTTCTTCCAACACTCATTGGGAGGATTTTGTCACCTCCCCCGGCCTGGGAGGTAAAGAAGCTGTATGTTCTCAAAAATTTGGTGTGAGTCACTAGTGGGTTCTCTCATGGCTCAGGGTCCCTCTCCCGAGTCCTGACTTGATGAAAAAAATATAGTGTGTGTTTGGTTTGCATATGAGAATCAAATACTTGGTAATAATAATGGATTTTAGTGAAAGTATTTTGCATGTTTGGTAGTAGCATAATGAAATTTAAATGATTACCAATATTGTTGTTTGGTTATCTATGATCATTTAATGGGAATAAAGACAATTTATTCTAATACTAGTTTTTTGCGCACATTGGGCGACTGGGATAATGCCCAACGTTTTTTTTTTTTATAAGTACTTTAAAGTATATCAAGGCAAGATTATATTGGAATTGTTCATGCATAGATAATTGAATGTTAAATTTGCGTATTTAAAAATAGGCAATTTTAAGTTTACAAATACAAAATAATATAGTCAAATTATAATTGTCAATAAAATAATTATATAGGTATGGTTGAAACCAAATACTGGACATAAGGGAAAACAAATAAAAATTAATGCATAAAATATTAAATATATACTAATATTGAAGAGCTAACTGCGGATTGCCAAATAAGGACATTGCGAGGTAGTTTTTCACTTCAATTTGTTGTGTGATTTAAATACTATTTTTGTCAATAAATCCCAGTTAATATGATTGGCTTAATTATATAATTATATATATATATATATATATATATATATATATATATATATATATATATATATATATATATATATATATATATATATATATATATATATATATATAAAATAAAGTTCAAATGCGGCGGGGTCTTCCCGTGTGGCGGTGCGGCGGAATTCCAGAATACACCAACAGTGTTAACAATATGCACCAACAGTGTTAGAAAAACACACCACAATGAAATAAAATAAAACATCACAGAATACACAACAGACTCAAAAAAAATACACCATATAACTCACCACCCCCAATGGTGTATTTCTGAACAGTGTATGGTGTTTTTACTCACACCTAATGTTGTATGTTTGGTGATGCAGGGCTCTGTTTACTCTGTTTTTTGTGATGTATTTTCCTAACGTTGATGGTGCATATTTGTTGAACTATTGGTGTTGCCGCACCGTAAGAAATCGCCGCACCGTAAGACACTGTCGCACCTGAACCCGCCTATATATATAAACAATTATTATTATTATTATTATTATTATTATTATTATTATTATTATTATTATTATTATTAAATATATGTATACCCTTATGTAATTTTACATGTTAATCTAAACATCAAATTTTTTCAAATATCTTTTTACCAACCGTTGATATAATTCGCTGGTCAAATTCGCTAATATAATCCGCTAACTGCTGATTGTCAAACAAGGGCATTACGAGGTAGTTCTCACTTCAATTTGTTGTGTGATTTGAATACTCTCTTTGTCAACCAATCCCTCAAATAGTTAATATGATGACTTTATTAATTATATATATATTTTTAATTTTTTTATGGTATTAATAAAATACTTGGTAAATAAATATATAGCATTATTTTGTATTATAACTTTGATATTTAATTAAAAAAATAAATATATAGCATTATTTTGTATTATAACTTTGATATTTAATTAAAAAATAGTGCACAAAAAAGCTAATAGACAATGTAGTGAATATAATCAATTGATGAATTTGAAATTTGAATGTAAAGAATTTTTATTGGAGAAATATAAAGACAATATAACTAATAAAATTATGTCTTTTAATTAACTTATTGATAATGAATATTTTTTTTTTAGTAAAGACATTGTAGGGACAATGTAGCGAATATAATCAATTGATGAATTTGAATGTAAAGAATTTTTATATTGGAGAAAAACAAAGACAATATAACTAATGAAATTATTTCTCATATTTAATTTATTGATAATGACTAATTTTTATTTTTGAATAAAGACATTGTAAAGTGTAGACACATAATTCTAAATTAAAGAAATGCATATGTATTATTTTTTGTTGTAGCTACTAAATTATTATTTAATTTAATAAGAATAAAATAGAATACTAATTATGCCAACTTTAATTTGATTGGGATGAGACTCTAACCTAAGACCTTTCTTATTAAAATCAATAAGTTAACGGTGAACTAACAGAAAATAATGGAAAAGATAATATTTAACGGAAAAGTTAACAGATAATCATATTCATTAAGGATAAATTAGGAAATCCTAAGGAAAAATGAAAATCTGATCAATCTGAGTCATTCATTTGATTAAAAAAATTGACCGCTATTTTTTCTACCCATTATAGGCCTAACTCTCTTGGGCTCTTATTAGTATAGTAGATTATTAGTATAGTAGATAAAGATATCTAAAGCACCAATATGAACCCACACAAAATATCTAAAAGCACTAATCTAAACTTAAAAATCAAATTACCATTCTCAAAAAATAAAAATAAAAATCAAATTACCAATTAGGAGGGGAATAATGGAATGAAATCCTTATTTTATTAGGGAATGAGTTTTCTAATTGAGGGAGTAATCAAATCCTATAATAGTGTTCTAAAGTTCTGTTAACCAAACAATAACAATTACTTTAATTCATGAAAGTTAAATCCATGAACCAAATAGAGCAAATACCAATTTTGGTCCCATGAGTATTAGCAAAATGACAATTTTGGTCCACATCTTTAATTCCTACCAATTTTCATCAACGACTATTGTTTTAGTACCAATTTTCATCCACGACTATTGTTTTAATGTCAAATTTCATCACGACGGTCACCCATACTTTTAAGACATGCCAAAATATGAAATTATTAAGGGTATTTTCGTCCTTTTCAAATTAAGATCACAATTTGAGCATGAATAAAAGGATTTAAGCCTTAAGATCGAGTACATTCCATTTTTAGTCGTCGACTATTGTGGCGTTGTCACATTTAGTCCTACTCTTTTAATTTTGTCATATTTCATCCTCGACTTTAATTTGATTGTTAATATTGATCCTCTGTTAAAATTTTCGTTAATCTACCTTTAAGAATAAGGTCAATAATGTAATTTAATAACTTTTGTCTCAAATACATATTAATGTAATTTAGGATTTAATTACAACTGCTATGTAATTACATATCACTTGTATGTCTCAGTACGGGATTTTTAATACGAAATACGGATTTCATTTGTAAAATCAGGGATGGAGCCAAAGGGGGGAGGGGGGCAGCTGCTTCCCTCACCCCACCCCCGCCCCATATATAGTCTTTGTATGTATATATGTATATATGTATATATAGTACATGTTTTAGTATTAGTATATAAGAACTATAAAATGTTAACAAGAGATGAGTTAAATTAGGTGGTAAAGCACATATTTTGCAATGGTAATTCACGGGTTCAAATCTTGGCATTAACATAATTTTACAATTCTTTTTACTCATTGCCCTATGACTTCAACACTGTCACGTTTTTAATAGCTTCATTAAACACACACACACAAATATATATATATATATATATATATATATATATATATATATATATATATATATATATATATATATATATATATATATATATATATATATATATATATATAACATTCTTTTATATTAATAATGAGATGTGTAATTTATATTGTGTTTTCTATTCAAATTATTTTATCAAATTAATTATCTTTCATATTCTGTTATGAATATTTTTATAAAGTTTCGATGTATTTTATTTTTCGTCCATATCTTACAATATTTACAACTATATTTTTAAGTAATTTATTTATTTATTTTTAAATTATCTCTTTTGTTTTAATGTTTCGCCTTTACTAGAAAAATTTTCTGAATCCGTCTGACGTCTGTACTGTTTCGCCCCCCCCCCCCCCCCCCCCCCCCTCTCAATCGAATTTCTGGCTCCGTCCATGTGTAAGATTCGTATTTAATCATCCGTATGTATTACACTGAAATCTGTAATGCAGGATTTAATTACATCATGCATTGAGAATTTAATTAACTTGTATCAAATACATATGAAAAAAAATCCGTTAAAAATGGAATTTTCAAAAACAAAAGAAGCCTGTATGTGTCAAACATTTCCACATTTCCTGCAGGTGAATAGGTTTTCATTTGATGCTCCATCTGTGATAAATAAATAAATAAATAAAAACATAAATTTACATACTAAGTTGCATTTATTTAAACTTACTACAAGCAGATCTTGAATGAAATCATTGACAAACCAAAAAAATAAGAGAAGCAATTTTCATGTGCTTTCATAGATCAATCTGTTTAAGTATATGGATAATGTCATAGCTAAGAAATCTGCAGTAATATCATTCAGTTTAATGCAAGTGAAGGAGGATCAGTACGATAACGTTGATGAATGATACTCTTTTGAGTTTTGACAATAGATTTTCATTATCTGTTCTAAATTTTTTTTTTAAAAAAAAAAAGTTATTCTTGAGTACTCAGGAATAGGTTAATACTAAGGGGCAGTAATAGTTATTCCCCATCTAAAGGGAATGGACATTCTTAGAAGGCCGGAATACAAATTTTTACCAAACAAAGAAATAAACTTATTATTGGAAGGAGTCAAAAAAAAAAAAACTTATTATTGGAAATGTTATATCATTCTAGGCCTATTCTGTGAACAAAACGTGTCATTATAATAACTAGCATCGCCATTTTATCAGAACAGAAGACATAAATTAAAGTCCATCATGTATGTGATTTTATTTATTTACTAGAG